CGAGGGTATTACAGGCAAAAGATTTCCGTTTAGGTCGCCACATTTTACACTGATTTTTCGTAAATATTTACTGAGAATATTTTGCGACAACTTTATGGAAATTTTTATTCTGTCCCATTGCAGACCAAGCTGGTTATTTCTTCTTCATCTAGTCAAAGATTTATATGACATCCATCAAAATAACAAACAGCAGTTCTGTTTCTTATGAAGCAAACAGGGTTCACTTTCACTTATGGAAGTTTTTAACATGATACCTCATGACTGAATTATCTGTGATACATGTTTGGAAGACTCTGGGTTTGAACTCCAATGGAAGGGTATTAATGAAGAGTCCGAAACTAAGACGAAACGACTATGCGGTATTCCTAAGGTTCCACGACTGTCCTCTAACTAATCTCAACTCGTGATCAAATCCATAACTGATTAAATCCCTACAAACCAACACTTGATGTCATTTACAGAATCACTGTAAATCAAGTATAACTAGACAGTTATTTCGTCCTAGTTTGGGACTCTTCGGCCGTGTGCACCCAGAACTATCAGATTACAAGATTAACCGATTGACTATTCATCCACTCGACTGGAATTCAACTACATACGCATTCTTACTTCTGTTGGCTTGAGATACAGAGCTGAGACACACTAATGCCATGAATGGTAATCCACTGCATACCTAAACGTCCTTGGTGTGGTGCAATTAGAGTTCGTAGGTGCACACTGCTGAAGAGTTCAAAATCACTGTAAATTAGTTATTTAGAGTTCGTTAGTTTCCAAATAAGATTAAAGTCTATTGTCGAATAAACTCGAAGAGTTACAGGCAAAAACCGACAAACTAACACAAAAGGCAGCAAAGCAACTAATTCAACTGAACATAGAGAAGATAGTGGTGATGAAGATGACCAATCAGCAACAACAGTAAGCTCCAATCACTTTAAACGGAAGAAAATTGGAAAGAGATCATATCCTTCACTCAACTAGCTAAGCGGCATCGCTTCAAATGTGGGCCGCTGGCATGGATGAGAATGTAAAAACAAGAATTGGAAAGGCAGGGCAGATATTCATTGCTCCGATATCAGTTTGGAAATCTCCTGCACCGCACAGCATTAAGGAAAAAATCCGGATTTTCAGCACTAATGTTAATTCAGTCAGTTCTTTTATGTGGGTAAGAAACTTGCCCGGCGCGTCACAAAAAGTATTTACAACAGCTAGCAGTAAACTTTTATCAAAAACTGCCTTCGCTGGCTCCATACTAAAGATCAAATGGCGAACCAGAAAAAATTAACAACAAGAGACTCTGGGAACGAATCCACCAGGAATCCATCGCTCAAAAGTCATGGTGGAGAAAATGGAAGCGTATCGTACACACGCTGAGGAGACCGCTGGGTAACATAGCGCGTCAAGCCCCCGTTCAAGTGAAACCAGAATGGGTAACAACGGGTTGGTCGCTGGTCCGAAGGTGATATGGAGCAGATCGTGAGAGGAGGAGATGAGATACCACGAGCAATCGTGGGAGCACGTGAAGAGGATCGTAGAGAATAGAAAAAAGTGGAGGTTTACTGTTGAAGCTGTATTTTCCACCCGGAACACAAGGCAACAATAATAAATAATAATAATAGGTTTCCAATGGGTCTTCAACTACTTTCAATTTGTGTCAAAATCTACAATGAAATTGCTGCTGTTTCCCATAGTTAGTAAGAAAATGTACAATTTAGCTTTCAGGTGAATATAAATCATCTCACTAACATACTTGACCTAATTCTGTACCAATCATTATAATGATTGATAAGTTTACCTAGTGTTTTTCTAAATTAAGAAAACAGTTTACAGTGTACAACACTGAGAAAATAAAAACTGTACTAAATAAATATTAAAGCACACCTTTTACGAGTTTATTATTTAATTAAGGTGAACAGTGTAGTATCGAATTGATTTGAAACTTCTGTTACTTATTTCGAAGAACTGATATTTGTGAGGAAGTCCGGGGTTGTCGTTTGAATTAAAGGTTTTACCTGCTCTTTTTAAATGTACTGATAAGAGATGTGTAAATTTTATGAATACTTTTATTTTGAAACCATAGAATAAGACCTCATCAGTTTTATAATTATTATTGTTCCCATGGGTACCAAGTGAAACATAGGGATTCAGCAGTGCATCCCTTCTTTGTCCTATTCACTGCGGTCATCTTCAACTGATCCCACAGTTACCCATAATATTCCACTTCCACCTCACGCTAACTCCATTATGTCACTCTCAGACCAACTCCCAACTCGTCAGCATTTGGGTTCCACCAGACAGATGCTGTGGTACGCAAAGTCATTCGACAATCTTCTAAGAGTTTGTGCAGTTCATCTCCCTTTAATTTCACATGTTTACTGAACTATGGGTTCTTGGTTAGTCTGCTACCAGATGTTTTGCCGTTAATCCTTTCTTTCTCATCTTCAGTATGGAACCAGTGAAGGCAGTTACTGGTAAAGGTCCGAAGTGACCTATTGGTATTGTCTTCCGTGACTCATGGAGTTTCTATTCCACAGAGAAGAACTGACTGACTTAACATTGGTGTTGAAAATAGGAAGTTTGTTGTTCATGCTGTGGAGTGCGGAAGATTTTCAAACTGATTTCAGAGTGGTAAAGATGTGGCTTGTCCTTACAATTCTTGTTTTGACATCCTCATCCGTTCCACCCTTAACTGAAACTATGCCTCCTAAATAAATGAAGGAAGTTACCTCTTTCCATTTTATTTTGTTGACAGCGACTGATGCTCGCTGTTGTCACCTGTTTATTTTCGTCACCTTCGTCTTCTCTATGTTCACTCGAAGTCCTGCTTTTGCAGCTTCTTCTGTCAGTTTGTTGGTTTTCTCCTGTAAGTCTTCGAGTTTGCCCGACATTAGACATAAATCATCCGCGAAGTCCACATCTCCTAGGGTATTTTTATCAGTTCAACATCTTCCTGCTCCCACGCAAAATGTTCCGAATACTCCAGTCCACCATAAGTAGGAATACAATCAGTTATAGTAGGCAGTTAGTTTGTCTAACCCCTGTATTCACTTAAAAGGCTTCCCTGGATCAAATGACACGTTGCATTGTAATATGGCTGTCTAATGAGGTTGATAAAGATTTGGCCAGTAGAAACATTGGCTTTGCAGTAGTTTCCAAATAATTTCTCAGTCAGTGCTATCAAAGGCTTTTTGAAAGTCGACGAAGCTGATGTGGACACTTGACTGCTTGCCATGGACAAGAGCAGGATTCTGTGCCAGTTCTTGCGGCGGCCTAAGTCGCCCTTTTGTGGTAACATTTCTTCCAATCAGTAGTTACCTTTCTTTCCTTCCAAATGTTTTGCAATAGTAGCCTTAGCACATTCGCTGTGATCTTTGCATCAGTTCTCGGTGCTTCTGGGGGAATTTCCTCTGGAATTTCCTCCTGCTGCCTTCTCAGCCTTCAGTAGAACTTTTGCTTTCATGACTTCTGCCCATGTTGGAGGATTGTTGTCCCTTAGCAGTTCTTCATATTAGCCTTACTATATTGTTCGTTCCTTGGATTCAGAGGGTAGCATAGACCCTCAGCTGCACATTCTCTCTGTATTCCGTTCTCCGAAGTCTTTTTTAGCCGATTCTAGGACTGTCCATAAGCTTCCATCTCTTCTTCACACGATCTTCGCCATGCCACCCTCAGATTCGTGTCCAACTCTTCATTTCCCATAGAAGTTGCACTCCGGCGTTTAGTTTTTGATGTGTCATCTGAAGGAATCTTCAGTGTATGCACAATACACCTCCATTTACTGAAGCATATTTTTGATTAGTAGGTTCTTGGCTAGTTGGATGATGATGAAGTTCCACCAATTTACTGAACCATACAGGAACGTTGCCTGACTTGACATTGCTGTTGAAAATTTGAACCTAGTTCTCATGCCAAGTCCTATAGATCTCTGCATTGATTTCAGTCTAGCGGCAACTTGTCTTGCTTTCTCAATCTGCCTTTAACATCCTGATATAAGCAAATCATTTAAAATAAGGTAGTTTTTTGGTCACGCTCAAACAAGGGTTATTCGCATAATAATAATAATAGTATTTTGCTTTTCTTGCGTCTGCCATTCTGACCCCTTAGCTTAAAATTTGGTCTCATAATGACTTTTTGTATTCTGTTCTTTAGTTTATTTCCTCATCAACATATATGCAGTTATAAAAACAAAACGAGTAATCCAGAGAAGAGGCTCTTATATGCATTTCAGTGTAGAAAATGACTGAAGAGGAAAAGATAGAAAATAGAAAAATATGTTGGAGGATTTCATCATGAGCTGACATCAGTTAGAGAACCATTCGGAAACGTGCAAGGAGTTCTGGGTTGCCGTTTCGCCATAGTTTGGGACTCTTCATCGACACGCACCCATGAATGGGGTCCGAACCCTGGGCCTTCTGGTTACAAGGCTAGCTGGTATACCAATAAGCCACTGAGACCGGATCCAGTACCCCTAGGTTTTCCAGTGGTTCTCTAACTGATGTCAGCTCATGATGAAATCTTTTAACCATCCAGACAAAATCCTACTACTAAAACCAATACCTGAAAAAGAAAAATATGTATTAACAGTGTTAGCTCACAACTTTGCATAGGAACTCAAGGAAATCACAATTATCATAGGAATGACATTGAGTTGTTGAGCTAAATTCGCTAATTAAAATGATTGTGCAGATAACGTGAAAGAAATCAAGGGGTGAGATTGGTCAAACCGTCTTTATAAATATGTAAGTTTGGTTGAAGGTGTTTGATTGCATCTGCATGTGCCCATCTGATGTGCTTCTTATGAATATGGAAGTTGAAGTCCTCAGTTGATAAGAATCTTTAAAATGACATACCCTGTATTCGGTCTTTCTTGCTCTGTCAAATTCGATCACCTGAACCACATGTATGAAACTTTTATCAATAAAATTCATCCTTCTAAATGGAACATTGGGCCTCAGCCGCGAGTATTCTTACCTATAAAACGTCACCTTTTTATTTATCAGTGGTGTCTCTGGTTTGAAGCACCCCAGAGATCTGAATAAGCTCAAATTACCAGATTTTCGATCGGCCACCGTGGTGAACTGGTAATATCTAATGTCACATTCGTAGACTTACACAGTTTGCCCCCAAACAAGCGAAACAGAAGTTTGGTGTTTAGATCGCTTCAATTTGGCCCACCCCAGTCAGCACTTCTGGTTGATATGATTGGCATATAATTACTCATCTCAACCAATCGGTGTCATGCGTTTATGCTTGCCCACTTGATTGCCGTTTATGGCATCAAGCGGATTATATATAGTGAAGTTCCATCTTCTCGTATTGTGGAAATCTTAAGTGGCGAGTTTGACTTATTCTCAACAAAGTAGGATCAAAAGTCCCTGCATTAATGGAATAGGATCTCGATCTTATGGCAATAAAAATAGGGATCAACCAAAAACAATGACATATAAAAAGGATTAAGTTATAAGCACATCTACAAATATAATAATAATAATATGACATCTAAGAGACATTCAGAACACAGACTGTTCCAGGTAATATGTTTGATGATCACACATTGTATATGAAAACAAAGTTAAAAACCACCAACCAATAAAACGCCATACTTTACTGCGTAAAATCATACCCCGTGTATCGAAGTGATACATAGATATTTACATTCGCGAAATAGAGACATAATTTACATGGCAAAACTCCACGTTATAGATCAATGAGTTTATCGAAAAGTTGGCCAAATGTTTCCTCACAGGTGTGATATGAGTTGGAGAGACATTGGAAAACCAGCAGGGAGTACCGAACAGCTGTTTCGTCCTAGTTTGGAACTATTCTTCGGTACGCACCCATAAGGCCTCGAACTCTGGACCTTCACATTACAAAGCAATCTCGTAGATCATTCAGCAACTTAAGCCAAATATAATAGACGACGAATTCCAACTTCTGCCAACTTCGCGATGTACATAGCGTGTTCAGCTATCTGATTTGGTTGACCCCGCTAGTTACCAATTCCAGCAGTTCTCTGACTGACTTCGGAAACAGACATAAAATGGACCCACACAAAAACTTGGAGGAACTGGGCTTCGTCGATAATATATGTCTGATTTCCCACAAACTGGAAGAAATGCAAGTAAAAAGCAACAAGTTGACAGAAGAAGCATCAAAGATAGACTTTCAGGTGGACATAGAGAAAACAGAGGTGGTGAATATTCCTGGCCAACAGCAGCGGCAACAGACAACAATCAGCATAAATGGAAGGAACTTGAAAGCAACAACCTCCTTTACCTACCTACCTACCTACCTTGGAAGCATCGTTTCAACTATAGGCGGACAGAAATGATAAGGATATCAAAGCGAGGATTGGGAAAGCATGACAAGCTTTCACTACTCTCAAGTCTGTGTGGAGGTCAACAGCACTCAGCATCACAAATAAGATCCGGATTTTCAACTCCAATGTGAGGTCAGTGCTACTATACGGATCAGAGACTTTGCGCGTCATAAGGAGCATCTCAAGGAAACTACAGACCTTCATCAACAGCTGTCTTCGCTGAATCTTCAAGATCATATGGCCGGTCAGAAAAGATCAACAAAAGGGATCTCTGGCAATGAGCAAACCAACCAGGAACCGATTGTGAAACAAATAGGCAGGAAGAAATGGAGATGCATTAGCCATACTCTGAGGAAACCAGCAAGTGACATCACTAGACAAGCCCTCGAATGGAACCCGAAAGGGAAGCGGCGAGTTGGTCGTCAGTGTGAGGGTGACTTGGAGGAGGTCATGTG